AGGCCCGCCTCAAATACTTGTCGAATTCGGCGCTAAGATGAAGACTGGGTTCGAGTCCTGCCGGCCAGAGGGGTTCGGACGAGAATGCAGGCCTGCTGTAGCCCTACAGACACACAAACAGAACGACAGACAGACCTGCCGGAGACCGACTTGTGTGCCAGTTTGATGGGCTTAGTGTCAATAACTTTATGGTCTGAGTTGTACAGACCCGTCCGGACGGCAGTTGCCGTGGTGACATTTCAACCCCACGCGTCCGTTAGTTCCGTCTGTCACTATGCGACCTGGCAACAGGCAGCACACATCGACAGAGGCCATGGGCTTAGTTACGATTGACAGAGCCCAGGCAGAGATAGCGGCTGTTCGTGTTGCTTACGTGGTCATCTGCCCCAAAATGCGCTAAGCAGGCCGTGCAAATGACTCTGGATTGGCAATATTATGTCTTCCCGTCAGGGTGCACAGTCATTTATTTTATTTAAGAAGGATATCCGCTTCTAAGGCAGTCCGATAAATACCGGTTGTCATGACCTACCGCAAAATTGGTTGCATTTATTTCAACGGTCAGTCGGGTAGAAGGCTTTGAAAAATGCAAAAAGGGACGTTTTCAATACCCGTCAGGATAGGACTCGGTTCGACCGCAACGTGCAGTTGGACTCACGTATGTTATAAGCTCGAGTCCCTCCGACTATAGGTCCTGCTAGCCTCCGGATGACGTTGCCGAGGAGGACCAACGAGGGAATCTTGTGTGAGTTGGCCAATCATCTGGGCCACTGACATCACTGGACGATCCTGAAGATAGGAAAATGCACATAACTAGGCATTTAATTTGATTAGATGTGCTGAGAATAAGACTGCATTCGAGTCTGGATGAGAAAATAATTCCGGAAAGTAGGGACAATGGGAATACACTTACAACAATAGCTAATATAGTTCGACTCGTTTCATTCTGATAAATTAAACTAACACTTCACAACTCATCTCAAGCGACTTGCTCATTTAGTATGAAGTTATCTAATTGACTATAGTGACGACTAAAACTTATAATATTCTCATTCAATTCATTGCAAGAAAGTCAACTGGTGCTACTTAATTCGCTTTAAGCGACCCAGATCATCGATAGTTTCAAAGCATATTTACTAAATGATCGATTGTAATAAAAATGCATGCTCGCCTTATCGACAACTTGCCAGTTGTTCTTAGCTTGGTATGTATCTTTAAAACAAATCAGCCAAAAAAGACTTGGTGTATGCTTGTGTTTGAATAGAAGAGAGGACATGCACAATCAAAGTGAAAGTACCAAGTACTCAGAAAGGAGCAGATGCATCAAAGTCAAAAGACCTAGTTTTTGCTTACAGT